ACACTGCATGTACTAGTGAATGGCACGCAAGACAGCTCATTATCCTTTCCATAGGTATGCAAGAAATATTTATTTGTTGAATTTTCTGAGTCCTGCGTAACTGCTTTATATTATGCAGTACCACAAATCACTTCAAACCTGCGTAATTACTGATAGCTTGTGCTAGGTCAAGGAGGCTATAGTAAGGAAAATAGCATGAAAAACATTGTACTTTTGTATTTAAGAATAACTTACGAGTTAGGCAGGCTAAATATATGCGTCACTGCTGTCTCCTCTCTGGGTGTCTTGATGAAGCAGTTTCAATCAGTTTACCAGATGCGTGTTTTATTATTATCCTAACTTCCAAGCATCGCTTGCTTTGAACATCTGAAGACAAAGGCAGCTAATTAACAAATGAAATCAGCAAGCTGTGTAGTCCCAGCAGCTGAAAAAAGATGATACAGCAAATATAGTCTGTGATCCTGCTCTCCTGTTTGTATGTGTGAAACTCCTCTGGAGCTCAGGTGAGGGTTGCAGGAGGTGGTCTGTGTTCCCTACTCACAGTGCGATGCCTCTAGTGCTTTGTAATTCAGCATAGAGAGAATATTAATAGCATCTGCCACGCTTTTGTGCACCTTCCGCACCAACATCTCTGACCGTCATGATGCAATTCACAGTGCAGTTAGATTAGACCCATTTTGAGCAGCTAATACTGGGTTTTCTGTTTGTTTGAGAGCTTAGGGATGTGTGAAGGTAATTCTTCCAATGCAGTGTTTAGCAAGCTTGTGCCGTCTGGGTTTTGGAAACTGTTTGGTTCAATTCAAAGATTAAAGACTGAAAAATTTAACCTAATGGTGGCATAAACCTCTGTGGAAAACATACTTCTGTAATTATTTTCGTTTCGATTAATAGGCTTTAACTACCTAGCAACACCCATGACTTCAGTTTAACTTAAAGAATGATTAGTCAGTTAACTCTTCATAATTTGATTAACCAGAATGAAAATTCTTGGGTTTTTTCCCCTCTTGTAAAGCACTTCAAAAATTCTTCTTGTTGACCTTCCCAGTGCTAAATCTTTCTCCGTTGCAGCAAGATCTCCCTGTCTCCTCAGTGATTTCCCCTCTTTCCTCTTCCCAGGTTGATTGCTGTGCAATACCTGAAGTCCATAGCTTCCCTCCCAGACTGCTGAGTCCCTGACTGTTCCAGTGCTGTTGGGGAACAAACACCCACAGATACTCACACATACGCACAGAGCCTTAAATAGTTTTTTTTAAAACCTCTCTGGAAATTTGAATATCAATTAGTAACAATTCAATTAGACATTGAAACCGGAGTTCTGGAGAGCTTTGACAAGTGGGCATTAATGCCCCCGAGATCAGGTGACTTTAAAATAGCCTGTCTACAGGCAATGAATTTGGCAGTTGCATGCCTCCATTGTAATAACTGCAGAATACCTTGGCAGTATTATAAAAAAAAGAATATTTTTGTATTATGTTTGCAGCTCTCACACTGCCTGAGCAAAATACGGTCTTGTATAACTATCCAGTAAAACATTTGTCTAACCCTGCCCAACAGCAGGGCAGGCAGTTGAGTGTGCAGTGAAATCTCACAACAATTGCAAGCATTATTTTGGCTCCTATTAGCGCTGCTTCTTTTGCTTCGATGCAGCTGTCGATATCTTCCAGCACTGCCGATGGAAAAATCAGTCAAGATCTGCAGTGCAAATTTTCTATTAATTGACCATTATGAAATGCTTTGGCAGCGGGCTTGCTGCATTTGCATTCCCAACTTAAATTTCTTTGAGGTTTCCTCGTGCTTTCATCAAAATCCATCCCCTGTCATAGTACAGCGCCATGCGGAAAGAGGGTGCCTGCTTCTCTATGTTGTAGAGGAATACCAGTGTCCGAGGGGGCGAACACACATCCAGCATGGACCCGTTGCAAGAGAGCAGGTAGCGCAAGCAAGCAATGGCATCACAGCTCATGATACCATGGAGTAATTTAGGTTGGAAAGGACCAACCCCCTGCTCAAACCAAGGCCAACTTCACAGTTAGATTGCTCAGGGCTGTGTCCAGTCAAGCTTTGAATGTCTCCGAGGACAGTATCCTGCAGCCTCTCTGGGTACTTGTCTGATTTCATGGGGGATTTGTTTTCACTTAAAACCAGGAGGAATTTCTCTTGGTGCAATTTATACCTATTGGCTCGTGGTCTTTTGCTCCGCACCTCTAAGAGTTTGCCGTCATCTTTTCTGTAACTTCCCAGTAGTCAGTCACAGATAGAAATTAGATCTCCCCTTCATCTTATCTTCTCCAGGCTAGCCAAACCCAGCTCCCCCAGCCTCTACTTGTATGGCACCTGCTCCAGCCCTCCGATCATCTTGGTGGCCTCCTCTGCACTCGTTCCAGTACGTCCATGTCTTGACCTGGACAGGGTGTTGTCTCACAGCTGCAGGGTAGAAGGGAAGGATCGTTTCCCTGGACCTGCGGGCTACACTCTTGCTGTTGCAGCCTGGGATGTGGTCGGCCACCTCCTCTTCAGCCAACAGGACCTCCAGGGCCTCCTCTGCAAAGCTGTCTTCTGGCCAGTCAGCCTCAGCCTGCCTTGTGTCGGGGTATTGATTGCCACCTTACACTGCCAGGCTTCGCAATTGCCTTAAGTCCCATTTTTAGGCTTTAAGTGATTTAGTGTGTCTAGTCTTGAGTAACTTCATCAAAATGAAGCTGAGTCAAGACTCGGATCTCTGTATTTCACCTAAGGGGATGCACCTTCATCTAAGGGTGAGAGATTCAAGGAGCGGACCCCTGACTTGGTGTTGGAGGCTCTTGGCTGCCAGTCATCCTTCTTTGTGGTCTAAGGATGTGCTTTGATAAGCAGACGCTGGAAAGCATTCATGTGTGAAATGTTCTGTTGTTCATCAAAATACAGGGAACAGTTGTTTAACAGAAGCTGATTTCCTTCTTTTTATTTTCTGTTGCATGAGTAGAAGACACAACGTTTCAGCAATCTCATCCCTTTTCAAATGCTACTGCGATTTAAAATAACCTTTAAAACAAAAATGGAATCTCATTAGAAAATGTCATCCTAATTTGGAGCAACAGTTTCATAATTTGTTTCTGTGATATTAAATTAAATGTTTTGTAGAGTAGAACGAAGGTAACATTTACTTAAAATCCGTGCACTATTACAAGATATTATTGCTTGAATTATTCCAAATTTTGGAACAGGTTTTTTTTCTAATTGATCAAGAGACTCTCAAGCTTTAGTCTTGTTATGCAAATCAAAATGTAAACATCTAAAGAATAATTTTTAAGTGCAAACTGCTTTTCAGTGTGGACATTTGAAACATGAAAATCTGTTCAGATTGTTAATGATGGGCTTCCTTTAATAATCCCGTGTGCCTCTGCCACACCTCTAGTTTTTAAAAACTATCAAAACCCCAATTTTTCTAAGAACTGCTATGCTGATGGTCCACCTCACACTACACACTGTGGTGGTTACGGTGGTGTTTGACTGGCACTTGGGGAAAGTACATGGGGGCAAAACGCATGTGATGCTTCCCCCAAAACAACTGTCCTTGTTTTCACCACCTTGGAAAAGGGACTCAAAAGGGGAGCGTGATCACGTTCCCTTCGACATCGGTGGTCTTGCTAAGATCTGAGCACCTCGTTCTGCATTTCAATGAATCGTGGCCTCAAATAAATCTGATGAATTTACGTTTGGATAGTTACTCACACAAGACTTTGCAAAAATGGGGTTAAATTTGTGGATGAGTAATTAATTAAGCACTACTTAAAGCATTATTTATATTTTGTTTTAAGGAAGAAGCACTGCTGATAAGGTTCTGAAATTATTTCAGTCAAGGCTGAGTTGTACATGGGAACGTGCTCTTGCTGTGTGCGCGCAGATCGGATCGGTACTGGTATAATTAGGCAAGTTGTTCCTACTCTCTGTGGGTAACAGCGTCAGTGCCTTTATTATAACTGTTGGAGCCAAACCTGGACGTACCTTTGAAACATAGGAGCTAGACTTAAAGCAGCAACTTCTCCCTTGGCTGCCAGCCCTCCAGGTAGCGTAACTTCTCCCTAAATCTCACCAGAGAATTGCTTACCACGTCATTTGGGAGTTGAGTGTTTTTAACTAGTACTTAGTAAAAATAGCTATTGCTTTTTTTGTTTTGTTTCTTTTTTTTCTTCGTTCTTCGATGTAATTGTACCTTCAGAGAAAGCTCATAATAAACAATAGTAAAACCTTGCGAATAGGAATCTACTTCTTCCTGACGGTATAAAGCCCAAATTAATTAATTAGGTGTACTCACATTCCAAGGACTATTGTTATTTCTTCCCTGTTTAAGATGAGTGAATTCTGTTGTGGGGATTTAATTTTCTTTGAGCTGATGCGGTGGGAGTAATTATATGATACCTGCATTTTTATCAAGAAAAGTGCATTCTAAAGCCTGTGATGAATTTACCTGCTTGAAGGTAAATGCATGTAACTGAAAGAAGGGAACATGCATTAAATTACTATATTAAATTTTTGCTTTAAAGAAAAACAGATGCATGCACATGATCTATGTTCTAGTTGATGCTACCATTACGATGCAAATTAGTCTGTCTATTTATTTCCAAAGCTTTATAAACTATTTTGTCTAAGCAACATTTAAATTAAAATCATACATAAAAAACAAGTACTAAAGCAGTACGGATGAAACATAAGTATTACTGGAAACAACAGAAATAAGATTGCCATTGTCATACCTATCGTATATATTGTTATATCCAAAAGCCTGAGTCGTAAATGAAGATCCAGTTGTTCTAGGTGCTGTAGAGATGAAAACAAACTCTAAAACTGGATTCTGCTGCCGCCGAAGTCCTAAATGTACGTTTGTGGCTTTTAGAGCTGTATTGCCTCTATTTTGCTGTTGACGTGTGTGCGAGGGGATGCACGCGTTCCCCATCGTAGAACCATCGCAGGGTCAACTGAAGCCTGACTTTATCTGGGGTTTTTTTCTTCTGTCTTTCCAGATTTGGACGATCCAATAGTAACAGTCCACCAGAGCATCGGGGAAGCAAAAGAGCAGTTTTACTATGAGAGAACGGTGTTTCTCAGGTGCGTTGCCAACTCCAATCCGCCTGTTCGGTACAGCTGGCGGCGCGGCCAAGAGGTATTGCTGCAGGGGTCTGATAAAGGAGTGGAGATCTATGAGCCCTTCTTTACCCAGGTAGGAATGGAGGTACGGTATTTTTTCCTTCCTTGGGCTACTTGCACCAGATTCATTGTAACTGGATCTGCCTGCATATCCCTGCTGGGTTTGTGGTGTGGGTAAGTGGGCATGCCCTCCAGATAACTACACCCCGGCACAAATGCACCCATATGTTATTATAAGACTTCCTAATATAAAATATGGGTTTTTTTAATTTTTTGTAAAATTATGAAATAGGAAATTATGGGAAGATGCACAGTGAGTGGTATCTGCAGGAGTCCCTTTGAAGTCATTTTGCCTGGGCGCTGCAAGCCCAAACCTCTGATTTGACTGCTATTTCCTAATCTTTTCCAATACAATGCAGAGTGATTCTGCACAGACGTTACAGCCTAAAAAGCTTTTCAAGAAGGCTAAACTCTATGGCAACTCCCTGTGTTGTTTTTTTTTTTTATTTTATTCTGCCTTTCACTTCTTTGAATATAAGTTTTTTGTTACAGAATTACACACTTAAAAGATGAGGTGGCAAAAATGGAAAGAAGTGCTTTCTTCCTACGCTCTCTCACAGCCACGAAGGCAGACCGGGCCATCAAAAGAGTCTGTCAGATTAGACCAGATTAATTTATTGTTAGCACATTTGCACAGTCTCAGAATAAAAAGGTGGCATATCCTGTTGTCTATGGACAAAAGTGTGTGACGGTGTTTGCAAAAAGGAAAAAAAAAAAAAGAAAAAAAGGAAAAAAAAAATGTTTTGGAAAGTCTTAAGCAATAACGAGTAAAGACAGAGGTGAAAACTGCCTGGTAATCTGGTCTTCATAGCAAAAAGCAACTGCAACTTTCATAAATAATTTTCAGCTAATGATTTGAGGGCACCTTCATTTTTTCTTTTTATTGTACTTGACAGCTTTGTATTGCTAAAGTGGCCTGGTATTTTACTGAGAAACGTGTAGCCTGGAACCTTGCAGTGATGAGAATTAGATTACATAGTCAAGTTATTGGTTTCCTAAATGCGATGAGATTATTTTTAATTTAACATGTATGGACCCAGTTTAGCAAATCTGTGGCTTGTTTCCTTTGACTCAAGTGTGTAAACTGGAGTTTTTTAATGTTTTAATTAAAAAGTGAGAGACTCCCTTGACATGGGACTTTTTGTTTTATATTTCCAGATGGAAATGCTGATGATTACCATCCCTATCATCTAATATGAACATATCTAATAAAATGCGTCACATGAAATTAGATTCAGTACTTTTTTAAAAAAAGTATATTTCTAGGTTACTAGGCACATTCTTCCTATAACCTCTGTCTGGGCTGAATTAATGAATAAATCAGATTGTCATGTTGATAGTCAAAAGCTTATCCATAACCTTTTTTACATTTATTGGAGGTCAGGTTGAATCAGTGTATCTTGTCGGTGTGCCTACAAGATCTGATATATGTTTATAAGAGGAAAAGATGTAATTAAAGGTTCAAGAGTCATAAACATCCACTGCACATCTCTGCATGATTGGTTCAGCTTATGATACGGTAACAAGCAGTGAGAGCTGATGTGAAGAGGGATAGAGGGGATTTGACTTTGGAGCATTAAGAGGTGCAAATTTAAGGTGTCATTTTTTGGTGATTGCTTTGAAGGTGGATTATCAATCTGAAAATCAAATGACATGTAAAGGAAAACAAGTAGTAACACGATTAAATTTTCTAAGGTATTGTACCCAAAAAAGGCTAGTTTTTCTTTCTGGTGGTTTTCTTGATTTATTAAATCATAGAAAGCACCCGGAAAACTGGGCATATACAAATGAACAGGGTTTTTTTGATGAGTCAGGTAATGTCAGCTACTTATTTTAGCAGCCATGGGGAAAAAAATTGAACAAACATGCACATTCTCATCTGTGGGAATATTTGAAATACTGAACTTTTCAAAACCAAAATCTTGATGCAGAATTTTTTCCTAAGAGTTTGCATCATCCTCATTGCACATTGTAATTGCACAGACTGAGTACAAGATTAAATTTGCTGTATTTACAATAATTATGCAATTAGTCATAATTAGACTAATTATCCAAACCAACGAAGATAATATAGATACATTTTTATAAATCTCTGCAATCTGGGGACATGATCCAGATACCACTGTGAGTTCAGCCCACAAGTTCAACTTGGAGTCCAGAGCTAAGGATTTAATTGATGGGATGTAGCTGTTCTGTGTTTCCAGAACTCAACAACTTTGGTAGCTGTGTTCCTACTGACCTGGATCGGGCCCTTCTCTGGCCCAGATAAACCTCTTCTTGAAGTAGGATCTTTACCTTTAGGAGCAGCCTTTCAAAGGCTTGGTCTTGCAAACAGTAAATCAGCATGTGCTTAATTATGTGGTTAAGTCGCATAATTTCTGTGGGACTGATTGCACATGCAAAGCACTTCAGTCCAATGCTCCAAAGCTACCAAGCTTGATTTCTTGACTGTCTCTTTTCTTGTCTGGCTAGCTGTATCTTCTCTTTTATTGACTTTTTGCTAGTTCTGTACACGCATTTTCACAAACTACCATATTTTGTATGGCCTTATGTAGCTGGTGGACATGATATTGTCAAAAGAAATTCAACACGTTGCTCAAGCTGTGGTTAATATTAAAAGCTGCAGCAGCATTAACAGGACACGTGTTAACGAACGTTTTCCAAAGTTTGCTCTTTTGATGCTTTGTAAGCCCGTTCAGAGTGTCTGCCGCCCTGGGCTGGGGTTCTGCCTTAGCCTTGTCTAAGCATAATACATTTTTAGCTTATCAGTATGAACACGGGCAAAGACTTGAACGCAGGCAACTGGAGGAGGAGACTGAAAGCCCGAGGAAGTTTGTTATTTTAATGCTAGAGTGAATAATGTGCAGGTATTGATACGTACAGATTTATCTGATGTTTCCGCAGCCCTCCATGCTGTTGTGTCCTCCAGCCTGACACCCTCTTGAGCTTTGCTGTGCTCCCTGTGCTTTCTTCCTCCCTGCTCTGTCCCATGACATCTCTGCGTGCTCAGGATTTTGTATCTAACACACCTTTCGGCTTTCTGTTGCTCTTGCTGCTATCAGTGCTGAAAGATTTTTACATACGTATTTCAGCAACTTGCTTTTTCTCCTGAGTTTCTGGTTCTGCAGTGCCCATTTCATATAGTACTGCAGTGGAAATCTCCTCTTTTCCAGTTTTCTCTTGATTGTGTCTGAAGGAACTCTTTCATTACATATCCCGTTCAGGTCCCTGCTCCATCATTTACACTGCTGGCTAAAAATAAAATCCATCAGCAGCTCATTTTCAAAGGAAAACAGCAGGATTTCTATGCCTTGTGATTTTTTTTCATAATGTAGATTGTACCTTAAGATATATTATCCGGAATAATGCTGCAACTTGAAAGACTCCGTTGAACCAGTATCCCCCTCACTGCTCTCTTTTCTTTTGCCTTTAATATATAAGTGGGGCTACGGTTTTAGGTTATGCCAGCTGCCATTCTTTCAGAAAATTAAATAAAATATGTTTTCTGGACCACTTCAACATCTGCTTCTAATTAGCCACCTTTGCATCTTCTTCTTGCCTCCTGAAAGCCAGTCTTGGTGTATCCTAAATCCCTGCTCGTTCCTCTGCCTCGGCCTCTTCCTAACACTCTCTCTTGCACACGCAGGGAGAAACGAAGATCCTGAAGCTGAAGAACCTCCGACCTCAGGACTACGCGAATTACAGCTGCATCGCCTCGGTGAGGAATGTCTGCAGCATCCCTGACAAGATGGTGTCCTTCCGACTCTCTAATAAAACAGGTGGGCCTCCAGCAGCGACCCTCCCCAGTCATTTGATGTCCCCATGGTCTTTTGTGTTTCGATGTTGTTCTCTTGCTTAAAATCTATGTGACCGTATGCAGCCGCACCGCGGTAGGAGCTATTCAGGAGCAAGTGGTACAAGCCATTTTCAGGTGTTTTCCTTTTTCTCACCAAAGTTAGGATTTGAAGAAGAGTTTTGATTTATTGCTCTCTTTTTATCGCTCTCTGGATTTTATATCAGGATTTGCATTTTCCCCCAGTGTCAGGGAGGTTCATTGTTACGGATAAACTTCAAAGAAGATACTGCAGCAAGGTAAGAGGAAGGGGCGTCTCAGTCACGGCTGGGCATAGAGTAGAAACAAATACTTAAGTACTTCTCTCAATGCTTTGTTGAAAGCTAATTATTTTCGGTCAACAAAATATTTTAGGAAAAAATCAACTTTTTTATACTCTTACATTGATTAAACGATCTTATATGATTGATTTGATATATTCTTACATTGATTTAAACGTTGGTTTCTTACATTGATTTAAACAAAAGTGTTTTCTTTCAGATTTAATTGGTTCAAATGAAAATGTTCAAGCAGTTGAGCTGAAATGCTTTGCAGGAGGATAACTAGGTGTTTATCTGTCTCTGACCAAGCTGTCTCCATGTTGTGGCATTTCTTGTGCCTTTGCTCTTGTCTTTGGACTTGTCCCTGACCGAGCAAACAGTCAGTTGTGTATCTCCCTCTCTTCGTGGCTGCATCACTGCTATGTATCTCGAGAGCCTCATGCCAGTAGTTGCTCGCAAGGAGTGCAATTGGGAATGCTGGTTTCCAGGAGGATGGAAATTATGGATTTTAACTCTCCTGAAGGCTCTGTGTCCAGGATCTGCAGAGGATGTGTCTGAAATGGTTTATAAACCTGATGCCAAAGAGCAAAGTCTTCAGCTTAGATTTCTAAATAACTGGAAATTTCAGAGCAGTGTTTTCTGGAGAACGGTTCTGCAGCAAATGTTGTAACATTTGAATACTTCAGGTTAGATTACGCTGGTTTATGCCTTAATAGCGTATGCCTTGGGGCACTGAAAACAGGTAGCAAATGAACAAAATAGTTGAGACATTAACATGCCAAGTGCGTCTAAGATGAGCTATGAATTTTATTTGCACTTGCACGTTTCACATTATTGCTGTCCTCACGGCTTTATTCCAAGGAGTTGCCTTCAGCTTTTTCTGAATCTGTGATTTGACAGCAGGGACTTCAAAACTCTGGTATGTACACAACCCACTGCAAAGCAAATTCACAGCTCAGCTTTAAAGCTGCCACTGGCAGTAGGGGAACTACAGTCAGCTCCGAGGGTGTCTGGCAAAATGATTTGGAAGCCCTTAATTTGCGCTCTTGCTAATTTTTCCAGGGAAAAAATAATATCTTAATGTGCGGTTTGTCCCTCATTAGTTGCTCTGATTTCAGACCAGAAGAGCCATGAAATCGTGTCTGCCATGGAGAGGTGTAGCTGATAGGTGGGAGCAGCTTTCCTCTCAACACCGGTAATAACTCATCCACCTTCATCCATGAGGACAAAGGGTGAGAGTTGTTACCACTCCCATTTGTCAGAGCAATAGTTTTGCTGTTGGAGCCAGAACAGCCTCTGGCCATGTTGGACCTCATCTGCAACAGAAGTTGTTTATGTTACAGTAATGGGGGAACGTCAAATAGCATAACTATTCCGAACTGAGGACAGGAGACTATTCCGAACTGAGGACAGGTGATTGTGATTTAATTTTGCAACAAGAGTGAATTATTTCCACTTCACAAATGTCAAGTTTATTTTGGGAGGAGGGTGTCTTGATGCATTAACAGGAATTGCTCTTCTGGAGTAATTTCCAAAGTAAACAAGCCTGAAAAATGATAAAGATTCACACTTTCCCATGAAGAACTTGGTGGCAACCATCATCAAGGGCAAGATTAAATACGTATAGTAATTACTGCAACAACTCATTAAAGACAATGACTGATGTGTTGATGACTGAGAGAAAACTTTTCCCATTTGGTATGACTTCATCTGATATAGAAGTTCTTTGGTAGAACTTCACCTGGTATAACTTCATAGAAGTTAGATAAATTGTAAATCCAGAGTAATCCAGGATAAATCCAAAGTAATGAAAATCAGAACCTGAACTTGATACTCTGTTTCGGTATAGAGCAGTCCTAGCCTGTCCATCTGTTTTTAATTTAAAGTTGGAGGCATGTAACGGGGATGTCTATCTAATGGAAACAAAGGAGAGACAAACAGAACTGTCTGTAAGGTGGCAAACATGCACGATATTTATTGTCATTAATGTGGCTACAGGTGGATTTAAGTTCAACTGCAGATTATGTGATCATAATGTGAAATTGCTGGCAATTTGGCTATTGTGCATTTATCAGGTCTGTAAGCATAACTGGCGTGGGAAGTTTTTGTTGAACGTGGCTGTTACTGATGAGAGAGGTGACTAAGGAGAATAGCTGAGGCTTACCGCAGCTGTGGGTTTCCATCTCGTTCCAGCAGTGATTTTGGCTTACTGGGTTCAGGCTTTTATTGCAGGACACGGGGACTGTTGAGTGATTTGTTAGGCTCCCTTTGATTGATTGACTTGTGAGCAAAGGTGGGAAGGTTTTTCCCTGCCATGGATGTGCACTCCAGCTTGGGTTGCTCAGGGACATCAGCCGTCCCAGCAGCCAGATGGGGTTTGCGAGGGTTTGTGGGACCATCTGTGTGCGGTGGCTTGCCATTCACCTTGATTGATTGACACGGTGCGCACACGGCAGCTGGGAAGCCGCTGTGCTGCAGGGATCACCTTGGCTCCCCGCTGGCCCTGATTGATTGCCACCGCACGCTGATGCGCAGCAGGACTTCTGCACGCTGTAACGAGCGTTTGTCACATGTGATGATCGTTGGCAGATTGTGCTTGAGGAAGCGTGCTCAGCAGATGTGAAAAAAAAAACCCAGTGTAACTATTACTGTATGCCTGGAAATCCTTACTGCTCTTACAGTATCCTGCTACTACCCTGCCTGCTTTCTGCATCCAGGGCCACCGAGGTTCTCGCAGATGACAGTCAAGTCACCTGTTGAACCTTCTGCTTGATAATCTTCCCGTATTGTTAGAGAATATGGTGACAGAGGCACATGAACGCTTGTTTTTTCCTCTTTCTTTGAAACACTCTCAAGTCTCCCTGCCTTCCCTCACCAAGAGCTACAGGTGACTCGGGCATGAACGTAGACACTTGTTTCAAGGAAAGCATTGCAGATCCGGGTGCTCTGCTGGTACTATTTATGCCACAGGGTGTTTCATACATCTATATTCCTGTGCTGACACCTGAGTTGAGAGGCTAATTTGAGGAACACCAGGCATGTCTTTGGGTGAGTAGTTCAGGTTTCTGTTCAGTGCCGCCTGCCAGCTTGTCCCTGTGACCTTTTTGTTTTCTGTGCTCACTCTGTCTTGCTGATTATTTGATGGCGTGTGGTGGCATCACCAGAGTAACAGTCAATTACTGTGATAGAACCAATCCAAAGGAAACTTTCTGCATACTTCGCCTTGAATAATTAGAGAGGTAATTAAGCTGATGCCATCAGATTGACATGTATTCATCAGTATACTTTGGACATGATGCAGTTTTAAAGTGTTACACATAGGTATAATTAGGTACACTCACACCCCCTTCATTCAACAGCAGCGTGTTAATTACATCTGTTCTGTGTGAGTCTGAAGCCTTAGACACACCGTCATACGTCTGTAGGTACTGCAGGAGTTACAGTGCATTGGCATCATTTTTTTTAGACACACGGATTTCTTTCTTCCAGTGCAGACTAGTTTAAAATACAATAAACAAAGTGGATGTTGTAATGAGAGAAGCTGAGATCATCTCAGAAGCATGTGACCACGCATATGCTGAAGCCCAAGATGACAATTAGCAGTAATATTGTACAGCAGCAGGTAGAGGCACTGGTTGAGCACAGACCCACTTTGTATCTAAAGACAGCTATTACTCTGCAAATTTATTATCTAAATAGATGAGAAATTTGAAGGGAAGCAGAAATGCTGTGAAGTGATTCACCTGCTGGCAGATTACTGGTGAGTGGCAGGAACAGAAATAGAAGTCAAGATGTGAGGAAGAACAGCAAAGGGACTAATTTTGCAACTCTCATTTGTTTTTAGTAGACTGAATCCCTTTAAAATTAGCACGTCGAAATTAATTTGGGTAAGTTAATGCAAGCAGGAGTTGTAAAACTAAATGCAGCTGCTTTGCAACAAAATCAAGGGGTTATTCTGACAAGGAGGAGGAACCCTGACAATTTTCTCGGTGTATGTGCTGGGATCCATGCTGTCGGAAGAAGAGCAGCTGCGAGGGTGGGTGTCGCACTGAGTCATGACCTCCATACTTTCTGTCTACGTTGCCCATTTTTGTTGCCTCACTCTGTCTACGCTGTACCTAAGAAGAAATCCGATTGATTGATTCTGGCTTCTACTCTACCCTTTTGGCTTTTCTTGGGGTTGCTACTGTCCCGTATCTTCCCCAAGGCCTCAGAAGGATCTTGCATGGCACTCACATGTGTCTTTTCCCCATTCGTGTTCTTCACCCTCTTAGAGCTCTTACTGTATTTGTATTCCTGAAATCAGTGAAATTTTTCCTCCAAATAAGTCCTCACAGTTTGAAACTGCAAGAAGCACAAAAGACAGAGCTGGCAGCAAAGGCTTCTGGGGTGGGGGGAGCACAGTGCTACAGGTTGTGTCTTCTCGTAGGAACAGCTCTCCGACAGCTTTCTCATCTCCTGTTCCCACTTACGAGTGTTTTGGAATCACCACCTTGATTCCTCTATTGTACCTTCTCATCCTCTTGCCTTGTCTTTAGTAAGACCTTTGATATGACCTTCCATAGCTTCCTTATAGCCAGATTTGTGAGATGCGAATGATTAGTGGAAAATTGGCCGGGCCTTTGGGCTTCTAGGGTGGCATGATGTCCAACTGGTGGTCATTTGC